TTCCAAATTCAAATTAACACGTGTGCCTGTTGATTTTTAAGTTTATCTGCTAACGATTTTCATGCCTTATTGCCTGCTCTGGCTCTCTAGTATGTCTCTTAAGCTTCCTTACACAGCATATGATTCTGTAGTGGTCAATTGTATGGATTGTAATTGAGTTTTGACCTCACTAATTCAGGTAACTAACTGAGAAGATGGATTTAGTTTGTTTATAACTTACGTCCTGTTGCTTAAAATGGCCTCTTATGACTGCTTCATGAGATAGTTACTTGTTTAATGAGGTGGAGGCAGAGGGGGAGTTTGCAGAAAAGATGTATTTTAAGTTATTAGCAACTGCTTCATAGATTGATAGGATCTCTAGTAAATGTTCTTTCAGTTCTGAGAGTCCACCACCCCTGCCAGAAGATGGGAGGAGAAAGTAGTTATGACAGTAGCGTGGTTCAAACATGAGATGCGACCAATAGTAGCATGAACCATGGATTGGAGTGATTGTGTGTCAACCAGGCAAAGGTCAATTCTCGAATTTTATATATGGGTGGGCGAATACAACATATAATTCCTTTCTTGTGGGGCAAAGTGCCTCCATGTATCATGGAGATTATATAAGTTTGTAGAAGAGTACATAATTGTCGACTTTGAATGGGAAGCGAAAGTCCTTAGTTTTGATATCTCTAGATGGGTGCAATGTACAACTAAAATCCTCACAAATAAATAGTCTTCCCTTTTTCATCCTAATAAATGGAAATGGAAACTCTGGTCACCATAACAACTTCATATTAATGAAATTGTTATGGTGCCATGAGGCCCCTGGACACACTCTTACCTTAACCGAAAGTTGCCTCCAACACCGATCTCCAGATCACCCAGGCGGCAGATGGCTGGATCTCAGTTACAGGAAGCGAGAGAAAGGCGGAGTGCCACTGGGCAGGGGCACCGCTGATTGGCCAGAGAGGTCAGCTGACATTCTAAGCCAATCACTAGCTCTCCACTGAAAAATAAAGAGCTTTAAATGATCTATAAATGTTTCCAAGTCCTTTTATTGTTATCCCTAACTCAAAACCATTTAATTTAAAGATGGCTTGTGTGTTCCTTCTTCCAAAATGCACGACTTTACATTTGTCTGTATTGAATCTCATCTGCCACTTTCCTGCTCTTTCCCTCAATTTATCCTTATCTCCACCTCCCTCTGTAGAGAAGTTATATCATGCACAGACTGTATTTTCTTACCTAGTTTTGTGTCTACAAACACCAACAAATTACTTTCAGTGCCCTATTTAAGATAATTTATAAACAGATGAAAGAAAAGTGAACCCAGGACAGAACCCTGTGGCACTCCACTTACCACTTTTATCCAATTTAACAATTTTATTAAGACAGGGGTTTTGCCCTTGACTTCTGGATCTCATGCGACCCCTCAGATTCCCCACGATAATCCTGAGGAGGGGGTTTTGTCACCTGACTTTCCTGCATCTGCAGACATGCAGGCACTTTTTGACGCCTTAGTGTCCAGATCCATTACGCAGGTTATGGTATCTGCCATGGATGTTATGTTGACTTCTCTGTCGCACAATAATACTCAGGCCCTTTTAGAAGCCCAACAGTCAACACAACAGACTGTTTTGTCGACTGCATCTATTCTGGTACCTTAAGACCATAAAGCTACGGCCAAGACCAAACATTCCTCCAAAACTGATTTGATGGACAGTTTACCTGCTGTCACGGCTAGCGCAAAACTTCCAACATTCAAAAGATCCATTAGCCGGGCAAAATCTGCTAGACTATCGAAGTGGGCTAGAGCCCAGCTTGATTTGTCTGAGTTGAATCTCAGCAACATTGATAAGGAAATTTATGAGTCTGTAATGGACGCTTCGGGCAATCCATCCAAACCAGACTCTGACGGTGCTGTGGGGGAGGCATCTGCAGCACTTTCCCCGCAACGATGTCCAGGGTCTAGGTATGTGTGTCGGGCTCTGTTGATGATTCCAGAATCCTGGATTCTGGGGGCTTACCCCTATTTGATCCAGACGAGCTGAGGAATCCGCATTCAGCGGAGTGGTGCCCTTCTGAGCATGTGGAGAAATACATCTCCTCCAGAGTCCGTAAACCCATGAAGAAGTCTACACGGAACAACTTACGGACCAAATGCCCTCGCCCCACTGTCCCTGATGATGCATGTAAAATGCCTATTGTTGATCCTAAGATTGTCCAATTTCTAAGGAAAACTGGGTGGAAACCCACAAAGGGTCTAGACTTTTTACTTACTGTGACGAAAGCACATTCGTCACTGGGATTTGGAGAGGCCTGATTGCCAGCCTCTTGCCCTGTGACTATGGCCCCTGGTATGTATTGCCCTTTAAAAGCTTTATTTGGGCATATTGGATTTGAAAACACTTTTTGTGCCCCTTTAAATCCATGGGAAAATGTGCCTCTTCCCCTCCCCCTTTTTCCTGTCCTATTGTTTCTCCAGCAGGACGTTGTCCCAGGGACACTGCCAGACCAGTTTAAACTGGCTGCTTTGTCCCTCCTCAATCTCCCATCAGCCCTTGCTATTTTATGACCCCACCCATATTTTTACTATAGGGCACGTTTAACATTGGACATATTGAGCGCTCAGATCCAAGCTATCTGGGGATATGTTGGACATATAGGTTAAACACTGTATTATAAGAGTTTTGTATTGGAATGTGGTTTTTGTAACAGTTTCTGACTTAGAGATTTTTCCTGTACCTGGAGATAATTAAGTTACCACAGCCACTTGTGCCAATTATCTCCAGGATAGAGAAGAAGATAGACCGGCCGCAAAACCTAAATCTTTGGAACTGTTTTGGGCATGAAAGCCATGCTTGCAGTTGTCAAATGTGACTTCCATAAAACTTTATGGGGATGTGTTATGTTTTGGGGTGTTTTCTGGACTTTGGGGAAAATGTGTGTTTTTCTGCCTGTGGATAATTAGGTTATTGTATTAGCTGCTTTAATTATATCCCAGGCAGAGGGGAGGGCTTATGTGCTGTATGTGGGAGTGTCGGACATTATTGTATTCTTTTAATTGTGCCCTGTGCTCCACAAGGTCCACGTGGGTGGTAACCTTGTGGGGAAAATGTGTATAAAAGAAATGACTTTGTGCTCATTAAACAGACTTGTTCTACCCTTTATGAAGTTTTGGCTAATGCTTGGGGGATTGGAGAACTACCTATACTCTGGGGATTGCTAAAATCACTATACTCCATTGAGTAAGCTCTTGTAAGTGCTTGTTCCTGTTCCTGCTCTCTGGATTTAGGAGAAGTCTGCTTACAGGAAGCTGGTCCCTGGTCTTGGGCCCAGAGACAGCGAGACCCCCAACCAAGCTCAGGCAGTTTGTGGGGTCTGCGGTGGTTATGGTGTCTAGTGGAGTGCCTGGAACCCTCAGGAAGCACTAGTAGCATCCGTCAATGGAAGGTACCCAGTCGGGGTGCCAGCAGTTCCGTTACACTGACTCAACAGATAAGTATAGTTAAAAAACATATACCACTGGGGGCGCCACAATCACAAACATGTGAATATATTTACCACATAGTAATCATGAATATTCATGTGGAGAGATAAAAACAGAGAATATATATGGTGAAGTATTTAATAACAAATCAAACAAAATAATAAAAGGCAAGTACACTCACAAATGTAGTTGCACAACAGGGACATATGTCTATGTTGTGCTGAAAAGCTTGTCAGCCCCTTTCTTGGGCTAAAGTCCTCTCTTGCAATAGGGTCCCAGTTTCCAAAGTTCTAAAATCTTCTAATAGTAGTTCACTCAGAGCTGGATGTGATCCAAGGACTGTAGGGACACTGGCAGGCTTCCAATCGCTCGACGCGTTTCGTCCAATCGACTTTCTCAAGAGCTGTGTATTTCTTTTTCTTCCGGCTTTAAATAGTTGAAACCGCGCGGCTTTCATTGTTGCGCGCATGCGCATTACGGTAAAACTTTACCGCGCATGCGCGCACATCCAGTCTGAAACGCAAACAACTTTATTGATGCTTTATGCCGGCGAACACATTTCCGTACCCGACCACCTGATCGTACGGAATGGAATGTGGGCATTTGAAACTCGCTCCTACGAGTAATATACAATTCATCTAATATGTACAATTAAATAGTGAAAGAGCATGTTATATATACACAATTTATAATAGATGTAAAAACAATAGAAATAAATCACATCTTTAATTTTTAACATTTAAGACTAATAGAGAGAAAAATACATAATGTTACATTTTATACAGTATTGCACATCCAAAATTTTCCTTATCTGTATATAACAAATTATAGGGATGACCATCACAAAATTGATATGACCATCACAAGACTAATTTAAAATTACAGGAACATACTATAGAGAGAAAAAGACATAATATTATATTTTATACAGTATTGCACCTACAACATTTTCCTTATCTGTATATAACAAATAATAGAAATGACCATCACAAATTGATATGACCATCACAAAATTGATAAAAATATCATATATAATGATGATCATTTATATTCGGCTGAGGGACATGGCGAAGACATCATTGAAAAAATAGTATCATAAAAATAATTAATTTTAAAAATTAATAAAACTCCTATGGAAACAAGAAATAATTATAATATCAAAAATATAATATTAAAAAATTATTATAATATTAAAAAATTAATCTAAAAATCTAAAATATTTATAAAATTTTAAAATTTTAATCCATAAACACTAATAAATCCAGATCCACACTGTTACACTGACTGTCAGAACAAGATCTTGGACATATTGGGCCCTGTGGTATAAATTTTTGATGCAGTCGAAGACGATCGGGACCCGGATCAAGACACCATCTGTGGTTGTTCCAAATAATTATTTGCGTAGTCGGCAATGTAAATACAGCGCTTGCTACTAAGCGCCGCAGATCCATCTTGCTAAAAATTGAGCCAATGTTGGTTAATTTAGCTATTAATGAGCCAGGTGCCCACGCTAAGGGAGTATTATTTGGTGAAACCTTCGTAAAGGAACTGGGGTCTTTTGTGCATACTTTTACGACTTTAGATAAAGCCCAAAGCAACATGCGCAAAACATTTAATCAAAAATTTGGTTGCTGGGGCCGGAAGAGGAAGGAGCTGTCTGTATGCAAAGAGGTTCATATACACAGAACTGAGGTTCCTATTCAGGATGAGCTGGCTTTCATGAGCAAAGGGCAGCACCAGCACTCTCTCCACAAAGAGGCAGACCCTGGGTCACTAGGGGCATTCGAGGAGCTCCTTTTGGACAATGACCTTATGGTAAGTGTCTACACTCCCCTTTCTTGCCTTCTGGTAGTGCCCGGGCAGACTCATGCATTTTTTTCATGGAAAGTCACATCTGACGTCAGGTGCTTGGGCCCTACAAGCTGTGACAGGTTATTACACAGATTTCGTGTCACACCCGGTCCAAACCTCCCCTCCCTGAGAGATTTTTACCCATCAAGAAAAGCTTCTTGTATCCAAGGAAATTCAAGAATTGATGCGCAAACAAGCCATCAAAGAAATTATGACCTATTCCCTGGGTTATGTCAGCAATCTCTTCCTAGTACCCCAAAAAGGAATAGGGGTGAGACAAGTCATAAACTTAAAACAGTTGAATGGCTATGTGTCCTACCACCATTTTAAGATGGAAAGCGTACATTGTCTACGCAACTTACTCTAGCCAGGAGACTGGATAAGCAAATTAGACTTACAGGACACTTCAAATTCAAATGACAAGGATGGAAATTGAGATTAAGGTGCCTCCTGTTCAGCCTGTCGTCGGTCCCGTGGTGTTTCATCATGAAACCTGTGATTGCTCTGCTAAGGAGTCGAGGCATCCGGCTTATCATCTATCTGGACGATATACTTATTCTTGCTCAGTCAACCAACCTTCTCCCCACACACCTGACGTGGACTCTGATATTGTTAAAAAACCTGGGTTCCCTTCTCAATTGGGAAAAATCCATCATGACACCTTCTCAATCCCCAGAGTTCTGTAATCAACTCTCAGACTTCTCAAGAATGGAGGGCACCTGGCATGAGACAAGCTTATAAATCTGCTTGGAATACATGGATGGAATGGTTGGTGCCTGGGAAAAGATCTGGATCCCTTATCAGCTCCTTTAACATCCATCTTGCATCTCTCATACATACAAATCAAGTGGAGTGTAAAGTGGACCTTGAATTCAGGTATTACAGACAGCTGAAAATATATAAAAAAACACGACCTAGTACAATATAGTCTGGTACATGTACATATGTAATACTCAGTAGTAGAGTTGAGCGGACACCAGGATGTTCGGGTCCGGCCGAACTTAGAAAAAAAGTCCGGGTTCGGGCTCAAACTTGACCCCTGAACTTGAACCCGAACCCCATTGAAGTCAATGGAGACACGAACTTTTGTGCACAAAAATGGCTCTAAAAAACTCATGGAAAGGGCTAGATGGCTGCAAAAGGAAGTAACATGAGGGTAAGAGTAGGACAAGTGCCCTGCAAACAAATGCGGATAGGGAAATCACTTAAAAATAACATAAAATAAGTAGCCGCTTAGTAGATAACTCCCTAATTCCCACGGTATTCCCACGGTATTAGGGAGCTATCTACCAAAAGGCTGAAAGACCTAAATTGTCTTTCAGCCACGTTTACTAATACTAAGGAAAGATTACTTTGTATCAGTAAATTCTGCCCCTACTCGCTATACCGCGAGTAGGGGCGTGTCTAGTAAACAGTGAGCAGCCAGTGGCTGCTCACTGTAAAAAAAACAAAAAAAAAAACCTATTGCCCCCACCCGTGTGCGACGGGTGGGGGCCCTAAATAAGAATGTGGAGGGGGACCTACTTTCCTCCCCCACGGCCCCCACCCCTGCACGGCAGGTGAGGGGGACCTACTTTCCTCCCCCTCATCTTAAAAATAATGAGGGGGTCCATTATCTAAATACCTGTTAGAAAAAAAATAGACTTACCATTTGATGTCTTCTTTCTTCTAAAATCTTCTTTTTTCAGCCCCCAAAAAGGCAAAATAAAAATCCATAATAACCGACGCACTTTAAAAAAAAAAAAAAACGACCGCAAAAAAAAATCTAATTTCCCCCGCCCTGCAATTAGGCTCAGAGCACTCTGATTGGTGGGTTTAAGCCATCCAATCAGAGTTCTAAGGGCACACAAGTCAAACGCTTGTTGATTGGCTGCCCTGCGGCCTTTCAAAATGTGTCATTAAATCGCCGAACACCGAACTCCAACCCGAACATACAGTGATATGTCCGTGTTCAGGTCCGGGGTCCAAAAAACTTAATGTTCAACTCTACTCATTAGGTATTGTACTCACAAATACAGAGCCAATAACATTAGGCTCAATGTGCAGGCTGGTGGAAATATTAGGAGGGATCCCACTCCCTAGCTGAGCAGAGTAAGGTGATATGCCAAAGATCTTCCACTCAATAACGTCCCAGGGCATAAAACGGTGATAAAAATCTAATTTATTTGAAACATAAATATAAAATAACAGGCAGTAAATATTGCTAAGTCTCTGGTAAAATCAAATACTTGCAAAACGCGTTTCGCCTAAATAGGCTTCCTCGGTTGCATAAACTTCTTGTCCTGGTGTCCGTCTTATATAGATCCCCTTTGACTGTTGATCAGGATCTCCTGTAGCAGCCGCGGGTGACTTCCGTCTTCTTCCTATGACGTGTCTCTCCGTCCGACTCCCCAGCGGCAGTATGGGTTAAAGGGAGAAGAGACAACCGGTCTCTCTCCTCAGCGGCAGACAGTGTTACCGGGAGAGGAGATTGTAGGTTCCTCATCCCAGCAGAAGCAAGCAGCACTGGAGGTGGAGACAGTCGGTCCCACTACCCAGCACCAGGCAGTGTTTTCGGGAGTCGAGATAGTTGGTCCGACTCCCCAGCAGCAGCTTACCTTACAGGGAGAGGAGACAACCGGTCTCTCTCCCCAGCGGCATCTGGAGATACCGGAAGAGAAGACAGCTGGTCCCTCTTCTCAATTTCAGGGGGACCTCATAGACTGGTCCTGGGGGGAACCCCAACTGGCAGGTGGAGGTGTGACCGAGGTCTTTCCACTGGCCCTTCAGGGATGCTGAACTACAGCTGGAAGTATCAGGAGGGAGGACAGTCAGTCCTACTCCTCAGCGGCAGCATAACATACAGGGAGAGGGGATAATTGGTCCCCCTCCCCAACGGCAGTCGGAGGTACCGGAAGAGGAAACAGATGTCCCCTCTTTCCCACTACAAGAGGAATACCAGGAGGAGGTGGACGATTCCTCCTGTCAGTAGCTGCTGCCCAACCGGTCCTGGGGGTAGTGGAGGAGATGGCAATACCCACTGACCCCATCGCAGCAGAAGAGCTGGCATCCGGGCAGAGCACAGCTGGCCTCTGCCCTACCATTCCCCTTATTACAGTGCAAAACAGTCCTCAGGTCCCCCCAGCAGAAGCACTGGCATTCGGGCAGAGAGCAGCTGGCCTCTGCCCTCACCTTTCCCTCACCCTTCACCTTTCCCTGATTATCCACAGGCCATCCCAGCAGCAGAGCTGGCATTAGGGCCGAGCGCAGCTGGCCTCTGCCCACCAAGTACCCACAACTCCATCCCAGGAAGCACAAGGGAGATCGGGGTGATGGACACTAACTCAGCAACCTGGGACATACAGGACAGAGCTGGAAACCAGAACCCACCAGGTCAAGTGTTTGTTTATAGGTGGGCTACTCGACTAACTCAGGTACCGACCGACAGAAGGTCAGGTACCTGGTTAGTCTTCCTTTTGTGGTGGGGGGGAGAAATGTGACGAACTGAGCCTCGTCACGTGTTCTTGGAGGGGCCTGCTGGCCAGCCTCTTACCAAAAGACTATGGGCCCTTTAAAAAAAAACCTATGTGAACAGATTTGGTTTGTGAACCGAACAGCCTCACGAATGGGAGACCATCCAGGAGCTTGTTAAGCCTAATTGCTACTTTGTAGCAATTTCCACCGCAGTGTTCTAAGTGTTCATCTGTTCCTGCGAATGCAGGCAGCGGTGTTTGGGCATGAATCTCATGGAACTGAAAACAAACACAGAAACTCCTGAACACTGCTGGACTTCACGGTTCAGTGGAAATGTTCCCACGAACAAGGGGATCAAGCTTCAGAGTAAGACTATTGACTCTGTTTGGTAGTTTGTTTGTTTTTTAAACTACAGAACTAGACCAACCGCAAGTCCTGATTCTCTGGAACTGTTTTGGGCATGGGACCATGTGGGTGGGCGGTCAAATTATGACTTCCAGGAAATTCCTGAAACCCTGAATTGATCTGGGTGATTTTTGGATATGTTGGTCACCCAAATCAGGGCATGTAAGTTTTGTGGGGATTTTGTGTGTTTTAAGGTGTTTTGGGGTGTTTTGTAAAAATGTGTGTTTTCTGTGCCTGGAGATAATTGAGTTTAATACAGTGCTGACTCAATTATCTCCCAGGCATAGGGGAGGGATTGACCTGTTTTGTATGGGAGTGTCCTGGACCTGAGAGCCAATGTAATGTGTATATGTTTTTACTGTAGTCTACTCTCAGGTCCAGGGGGGAGTGTCCCTTGCATGGGGACCTGCATATTAGGCCAGTTGTGGCTGCCATGAAAGAGATTTGTTTTACCCTTCATGAAGTCTAGGCTCATGTTTGGGGGATTGGAGAGCTATATTCACTTACATATAACATTTCTCATAATGAGAGTGTATGCCTTTTTAAATTTGCTTGTCAGGTAAAAAAAGCAACGGCCGCGGCACCTATCTTGAGAAAGCCCTCAGAATAAGGGTGAAACGCGTTGAAGGTGCCTGCTTCTGAGCTCTGCAGCATTACTTACTCCAAAGAGGTTTTAGCAGTCAGTAGGATTCATTGCCAGTGTTTCCCCGCTTGTTAATTGTCCAACAGCCTGCCTTTGTGCACGAGACTGACGCTGTCGGGTTTGGGGAGAACAAGGCATCCTGTCTGCTATCCTGAGAGAATTAACTGCTTTTTGAGCCGATATCGTGGTCCTTATTGATAAGTACCACTATTTTATTTTGTAAGAGTTCCTTATTTGGGGGGAATTTTATTGTACTGGGGCAATAAACATAACAGTATTATACTATATTCTGTTTCTTTTGCTTCTAAGGTATTTCCAGTACATAATTTGGTCCTAGAATGCCATAACACGGATTTGGACTATTTTTTCCCCCAAGGGGCTTTCAGTGACTTTCATAGACTTTGGACTTTTATTGTATATTGTTTTATATATTTTTATTTTGGTTTACCCCTATACCAGTGATGGCGAACCTTTTTGAGCCCGAGTGCCCAAACCGCAATACATGCCAACATTTTTTCTCCTTAAAGTGCCAACACGGCAATTAAACCCAAATACTGAGGTTTAAGTTTAGAAAAAAACAACTCGTACTGTTGTCCGAACTAATAACTTTTGTTTTAAAAGAACACAGAGTTCAATGATACAAATTTTAAATAATGATATAAATAGATAAAATTAAGCTTATATTTATTAGTATCTCCAACAAATGCAATACATACACACACAGACTGCTGAATACATACACACAGTCTGCTGAATACACACACACACAAGACTGCTGAATACAGAGACTGATGAATACACATACAGACAGACTGCTGAGTACACACACACACACAGACTGCTGAGTACACACACACACAGACTGCTGAGTGCACACACACACACTGCTGAGTACACACACACAGACTGCTGAGTACACACACACACACTGCTGTATAAACACACACACTGCTGAATACACACACACACAGACTGCTGAATACACACACACACAGACTGCTGAATACACACACACAGACTGCTGAATACACATAGACTGCTGAGTACACACAGACTGCTGAGTACACACAGACTGCTGAGTACACACACACAGTCTGCTGAATACACGCAAACACACACAGACTGCTGAATACACGCACACACACACAGACTGCTGAATACACACATACTGCATTGAGGTGGGGGGTGCGTGTGTGTTGTATGTGGGGGTGCTGTGTGTGTGTGTGTGGGGGGGGGTGCTGTGTGTGTGCTATATGTGTAAGGGTGCTGCGGGGGGTAGGGGTACTGTGTGTGTGGGGTAGGGGTACTGTGTGTGGGGGGTAGGGGTACTGCTGGGAGGGTAGGGGTACTGTGTGAGGGGGTAGGGCACTGTGTATGGGGGGGTAGGGGGCACTGCTGGGGGGTTAGGGGTACTGCTGTGGGGGTAGGGGTACTGTGTGTGGGGGGGTAGGGGTACTGTGTGTGGGGGGTTAGGGGTACTGTGTGTGGGGGTAGGGGTACCTGCTGGGGTTAGGGGTACTGCTAAAGAAATTGCTGGGGTGTAGGGTACCGCTGGGGGGTAGGGGCACCTGTAAAAGGGGGTAGGGTACTGCTGGGGGTTAGGGTTACCGCTGGGGAGGTAGGGGTTTGGGGAGGGTAGGGGTTACCGCTGGGGGGTAGGGCACTGCTGTGAGGGTAGGGGTTACCGGGGAGGGTAGGGGCTACTGTGGAGGGTAGGGGTTACTGCTGTGGAGGGCAGGTTACCGCTGTGGAGGGGTAGGTTACTGCTGTGGAGGGTAGGGTTACTGCTCGGGAGGGTAGGGGTTACTGCTGGGGAGGGTAGGGGTTACTGCTGGGGAGGGTAGGGACTACTGCTGGGGAGGGTAGGGTGCTGGGGGGTTAGGGGTTCTGCTGGGGGGGTAGGGGTTACTGCTGGGGGGGGTATGGGTGCTGTGTCAGTATCCCCCCCCCTCCCTCCTTCTTACCTTTAATGAAGTGGGGGGGGGGGACACAGCGATCCCTGGTGGTCCAGTGGTGGTAGGCACTGCAGGGGGAGGGCTCCAGGAAGCAGCTCCCCTGTCCTCCCGCGCAATGCTGTGTGGAACGTTGCCATGGTAACGCGCGGCAACGCTCCACACAGCATCGTGCGGGAGGACAGGGGAGCTGCTTCCTGGAGCCCTCCCCCTGCCTCCCGACACGGAAGCAGAGTAGGCACCTGCCGTTTCGGGCAGGCAGGCGCCTACTCTGCATTGATGGCGAACCTGTGGCCGCGTGCCCACAGAAAGGGCCCGGCGTGCCACCTGTGGCACGCGTGCCATAGGTTCGCCATCACTGCCCTATACCAACTTTAAAGGGGAATATTCACTAAGCACTGACAATTTGTTATTTGTATTGCTGGGAGGCATACGGGTTCAGTGACTGATATTAAGGTCTTGCAGGTTGAGTGCCAGAGTCTGGATATATAAAAGAAAGTAATCTTGGCACTCACCCTATTATGAGTAAAAAAAAAGGTATTCTTGCCTGGGTGCAAACCTCAGCGTTATATATAGGCCACAAAAATATATACAAGGTCCACTCACAGGTCTTGATTAGAAGTTTCATTTATTCACTGGTGTAAATTACATGTGCAGAAAAAATGCATATCAACAGTATAACAGTATAAATTGGAAATTATGCGTCAACTTACTGATACTACTACTTATCAACAACTGACGTTCTATCCGGTCAGCAAGTTTCAAAAGATCATAATGGAATACATTACGATTGGCGTACAAATGGGATATCTTGATATTAAAATGTCTAAATTTTTGTTTGTGGAGTACCCGTTACACCCGGTATTATACACCATCCCAAAGATTCATAAGGACACTAACAACCCCCCGGGGAGGCCCATTGTATCGGCCAGAGGGAGTCTACTGGAACCCATTGCCAAATATGTGGATTTCTATATCAAAGAAACTGTAAAGGAATTACGTGTATTCGTGACACCAAAGAAATACTGAATAGAATTGGGGCAATTTCCTTGAAAGATAAAAACATAAAATTGGCTACGTTGGACGTGCAAAGCTTGTACACCATTATACCCCATATGGAGGGTATAAAGGCTCTCAGGGAGATACTCCAATCCTCTGACAAATATCAGGGACCTCCAATAGAATATCTTTTAGAGTTTCTTCGTATTGCACTTACTTGCAACTATTTTAAGTTTGAAGAATTATTTTATCTACAACTATCCGGAACGTCGATGGGGGCGAACATGGCACGCGAACGCTTACATGTTCCAATTTGAGAATCAATATATTCTAAATCAAACATCTAACAACATTGCATACTATCGATTTGTCGATGATGTGTTTATAATATGGAAGGGTTCATCTAGTGAATTGGAAGAAATGGTATTTAATATCAATAAACTTCCAGTACCAGTTAAACTTACATTGGCATACAGCGAGAAGGAAATACCTTTCCTAGATGTAACTCTTTACAAAAACGGTGATAAATTGGGACAGACTCTTCACCGTAAGAAAACGGACAGAAACACCTTACTTGCAGCCACCAATTACCACCCCTCAGCGACTTAAAGACTCGTTACCCATGTCTCAATATATGCGGGTGTTACGTTACAACAGTGACTCCAAAAACAGAGAAAGTCAACTAAAATAGATGACCCACAGATTCCAGGAGTGGGGATACAACTTGGAGATTCTTGAAGAAGCTAAAACCCGAGCGATCTAGAAATGGATACAGGAGAATAATGGAGTACAACTGGAACCAGGCAAGGATACACCGAATATATATTTACCACTAACATATCATACAGGATCCACACAAATCCGCAAATCCATCGATAGATACTGTGATATATAAGGTTCAGATAAACACCTATCCTCCATATTTTGTAAGAAACCAATTACCAGTTATGAAAGAAACAGAAACTTAAGAGACATTTTAGTTCGGAGCGATCCCACACAGTTACAAGAAAAGCGCACTGCATAAGAAAAATGGATGTTACAAATGTAGCGGTTGTGTCACCTGCAGCCATATGAACTCTGGAAACTCCTTTGCTCATCCCCATAGTTGGAAAAGAATTACCATTCCTCAGTACATCACGTGTACAACAGACCATGTAATTTACCTCATAACATGCCCATGTGGATTATCCTACGTAGGGAAGACGGACCTAACCCTACTCTTTAGCATTAAAACCATTTACCCGTTTCACCTTTGGGGTTTTCTCAAAATGGTAAAAGAACAGTACACCTGGCAAGGAACTGAATTTATAAGTATACAGAAGTTGAATATGACGCCAAAATTTTAATGCACCAATCACAAACAAGTATTAAAACAGAACTTAAGAGGGGCGTGGCCTGGACGTTGATGGCGCCAGTCGCACACTAGCCGAGCTCCTAGGCCCAAACCGCCATAATCAGCATTCTACCCCCTTATAGCTAGCGATGGTGCGGACCAAGAAGCATACCGGCGCTGGGAGCATGCCCCCGGGGTCACCGAGACGCGGTACGGGCACCCTGGATGACTTCCTCAGCACCCCGGCCGGGCTCCGGGGCACGGCGCCCTCTGACAATATGGCGGCTGTCTCCCCCAGTGCAACCAGCGGGGGGGACTCCATGCACGACTTCAGCCCCGACGATGCCCTTCATTCCATCAGGGCTGAACTCACGAGGATAGGGAGCAGCATGCTCACCAAAGCAGACACGGGGGCCCTGGTTCGGGAGATAAGGGAGGCGGTCCGGGAGGATCTGCGGGGCCTCCGCACAGACCTCGTGGCCCTCACGGAGCGGGTGGACACAGTGGAGGCAGAAGCACGGATCTGCTGCCAGCAACACCGAGCAGCAGAGACAGCGGCCACCAGACAGGGTAATATGCTGCTGAGCCTCAGACGCCAGGTGGAGGACCTGGAGAACCGCAGCCGGAGGCACAATGTCCGGATCAGGGGCCTGCCGGAGCCTGACACAGAACCCCTGGCGACCACCCTGCAACAGCTCTTCTGCCAGCTCTTAGGTCCTGACGCGCCGCCCATCATCCGCATAGACCGGGCCCACCGCGCCTTGGGACAAGCTAGGCCGGACGGCAGACCCAGAGATGTGGTGTGCTGTCTTCACTCCTTCCCGCAGAAGGAGCAGATCATGGCGGCGGCCAGGAACCTACCGACAGTCACCTTCAGGGGAGCTGATCTGGCGCTCTTCCAGGATCTCTCCGGCCTCACACTGGACGCCAGGAGGGCGCTGCGGCCTATCACAGCAGCCCTGCGTGACAAGGGGATCCCCTACAAGTGGGGGTTCCCCTTCAGCCTCCAAGCCCGACAGGGATCCTCCTGGCACACACTCAGGATGCCAGATGATGCCCCGAGATTCGCTCGGGCACTTCACCTTCCCCCTATCCGGATTCGCAACTGGCTGCTGGATGAACCGCTGGGCCCTCGAAGGGGAGAGGACACGGGCCTGCAGCCCTCTGCAACCCACTTGGGCCGGATGTCCCCGCCGCGCCGCTGGGGAGGACCAGCGGGGGCAGAGGAGTGATGTGGAACCTTGACCCTGCGTTGGGGCGGGCGCCCCGTGGCCCCTCTGCATGAACTGTAGCGGTTGGTGGGCCTTCCCCCTTCTTCCCTCTTCTCCCCTTCCCTCACCCTTCCCCGTCTTCTCTCCTCCCCCCCCTTCCCTCGCCCCTCCGCGTGTCCTCCCCCCCTCTCTGGCTCCACCGGGGGGCACCGGCCTGGAGGCACCATTGGACTGAGATGTTGGGGGTTTGGGGGGGGGGGTGGACCGTGGGACTCGCTCTTGGTGGGGGCGGGGGGGGTGGGGTGGGAGCGGCTTGCTGCATGGGACACTATGCTTTGGACTGGAGCTGAGGACTGTGACCTTGGGAGGGTGTCCGGTGCCGCTGGGGGGGTGGGGGTTGGGGGGGGCCTGTGGGTCTTGGGGGGTGGGTGGGGGGCACTGGCCCGCATGGTAAGCCCGGAAGGGGATCATATAAGAGTTGGAGGGGGCACGGGGTGTGCTTACGATGCAGATATTGGGTCCCTCCTGGGTCATAGACCTATCCACAAGGCTCTCACACAATTAGTCTGACATATTGCCCGCACCTTCACAGTATTCGGTTACGGGGATTACACTTCCTGGTAGGGCGGTGACGGCCATGGACGGCTGAGGATACCACAGTAACACACACGACAAGATAACGAACCCTTGACTACAGACACGCCCCACGGGCAGACGCACACCTGTACAGACTCCTACGGTGCGACCTGGGGACGACTGTCGACAGTTGGACCGACCCCCCAGGTACACACCAAGTGCGTCGAGCCAAGACCGGCACCACACACCTAGGACGAGGTGCGGGGACGGGGGTGGGTGAGACAGGGGACCTGGGGCTGACTCCTGGTTGCGGGACCTGACCTACACCGGGACCTGACTCCTGACTGGCCCTCCCTCTCAGACCCCACCCCTCTCTCTTTCTTTTTACTCCCTCTCTTTCTCTACTACGTTCTTCACCCTTTCCCTCTACGCTCCTCCTTACAGCTACCGGTTTAACCTCCCCCCCACGCCCCATATCCAAGGACGATGGCAGGTCACTTTCAGCAGGCGGATCTCTGCTTGTGGTCGAACAACGTTAGGGGCCTTAATGCCCCGGAACGGCGCTCACACCTTCTCCGCACCCTGTGGGCGGCACGCGCGTCTCTGGCATTCGTCCAGGAAACTCACTTCCAGGGGCGAAATGCACCGACGCTGCGAGACACCCGCTTCCCGACGGGATACTTTGCCAACCACCCACATGCCAAAAAGTCGGGGGTGGCAATTCTCATCGCCCGCACAGTGCCTTTCCAAAGCCAAGCTGAGCTGGCGGACCCAGAAGGCCGCTATATATTCGTGAAAGGCACGATTGCCGGACATCAGTATACCCTGGCATGTGTCTATGCACCCAATACGGCACAGCACCACTTCCTGACACGCACCTTACGTGCCCTGGACCGCTTCAGAGAGGGCCTGCTGATCCTGGCGGGGGATCTTAACCTAGCCCTGGACCCACGGCTAGACACCTCCTTAGGAACTAGCTCACTACCGGCTTCCTACCAACGCAAGGCACTGGTGGCCCTCAAGAACGCGGGGTTGGCGGATTCGTGGCGAGTGGTTCACCCACAGAGGAGGGACTACTCCTACTACTCGACGGTCCACAGTCGCTACAGTCGGTTGGACTATATCTTCCTCCCCATTGAATACCTCTCGCTCTTGCACTCAAGTGGGATCCACACGGCAACATGGTCGGACCATGCTCCGGTCTGGACTAAGATCGCCTCCCCGCTGTACAGGCCACGGGAGAGGCAGTGGCGGCTCAACGAGCAGGTCTTGGAGGAATTGGAGGCGACAGTGGAGATGGGTGACGCACTGCAGAAGTACTTTGAGGAGAACACCACCCCAGACGTGGAACCACCGATGATATGGGAGGCTCATAAATGTATGATCCGTGGCCATCTCATACGTTATTGTACCCAACGGAAGACGGCCCAAAGGCAAGCAGTCACGGACCTGGCACAACAAGTGGCAACCCTCGAAACTTTACATAAATCTACCCTCTCAGAGGATACCTACAGAGAACTCCTGGAGGCGCGGAGAAACCTCAAGCAATTGCTCTCGCAGGGCCTTCTCCGAACCATTCGCAGATCCCGACGACACTTCTACGAATACTCGGACAAATGCGGGAGGCTCCTGGCCAGGCGCCTGCAAAGGGAACGGAGACTCACACACATAACCAAGATCCGGGACCAGACTGGCGTGCTCACTCAACGCCCAGACGGAATAGCGACGGCCTTCCACCACTTCTACACGGACTTATATAACATCCCAGAAACGCGAGGAGCAGCAGCCCGGAAGAGGCGTGAAACCGATATCGCGCACTACCTAGAACAACATATCTCACGGACTCTCACGGACGACCAAAGGGCTGACATGGAGGAACCCATTTCCCTGGAGGAACTCAAATATGCTCTTAAGATCGCCAGAGCCCACAGGGCGCCAGGCCCTGACGGCCTCCCCGCGGCATATTATAAAAAGTTTCAAGACATCCTGCTGCCACACCTCATGGGAACCCTGAATCACCTACTAGAAGGCGGCCACCTCCCGAGAGATACACTGGCTGCCACTATCTCTCTTATCCCAAAAGACGGAAAGGACCTGACGAACTGTTCTAGTTATAGGCCGATCTCCCTACTCAACTCTGACTTGAAACTGTTCACTAAAATACTGGCCCTACGGGTGGGGCGCGTGCTGCCGGACCTGGTGCACCCGGATCAAGTGGGATTCATCCCAGGCAGGGAGGCACGTGACAACACCATCAGGGCCCTCAACGTGATCCACCTGGCGGGGAGCAGCCGGAGGGGGGTCCTCCTCCTCTCGACCGACGCCGAGAAGGCGTTCGATCGGGTGGATTGGGGGTTCATGCTGGCAACGCTCCGTACGATGGGATTCGGGCCCCATATGATGACCTGGATAGCTGCCCTTTATACGACACCAACAGCCCGTATGCGCATCAATGGGGCCCTAACACAGCCACTCAACATCCGTAACGGCACAAGACAGGGGTGCCCGCTGTCCCCCCTCCTGTTTGCCCTCTCCCTGGAACCATTCCTGGGGGCGGTCAGACGGGATGGGGGAATCGCGGGCTTCGCCTATAAAGGTCTGGAGCAGAGAGTCGCGGCATACGCGGATGATCTCCTCTTCTTTCTGGCCAACCCACTCATCTCTCTCCCGAACCTACTAGCAAGGTTCCGGGAGTACGGCCTGCTCTCCAACCTTAAACTCAATGCTGAGAAGTCGGAAGCCTGCCCTTTAAACCTAACTACCGCAGACACGACTCACCTACGGATACAGTACCCATTTAAGTGGTGTGCGGATAAGCTCAAATACCTTGGCATATGGCTCACCGGAGACACGAAGCGCCTATTCCAGGAGAATTTTGTCCCCATTCTCCGCACACTACAGCACGACATGACGACTTGGGGCGGCCTGTGCATTTCATGGTTCGGGAGAATCAATGCCTTAAAACTAAACCTTCTTCCGCGGCTTCTTTACCTCTTCCAGACCGTTCCAATCATGATACCCAGGACCTTCTTTCAGACGCTGAATACGGCGATGATAAAATTTGTGTGGAAGACGGGACGACCTAGGATTAACGGGGCGCTCCTGTCGCTGCCCAAGAGGATGGGGGGCTTAGCCCTCCCTTCACTAGTCCATTACTACAGGGCCACTCACCTGCTTCGGCTGGTGGACTGGCACACACTAAACTCAGACAAGCTATGGAGGGAACTAGAGAACGTACAAGTGGATCGAAGGCTGCCAGCCGCGATATGGACAGCGCACCCCCTAAAGGACCCTAGAATGACCCACAACCCGTTTATCAGGGCCACGACGCAGGTTTGGACTGCCACTCGCCTCAAGGACGGCCTCACTACAACGCCGGGTCCTCTGACCTCTATTACCCATAACCCAGATATCGCTGACGGACTGCGACCGGGGGATGTGTTGGGACTCGGGGACCCGGACTGGACGTACATGAAACAGCTATGCGCCGCAACGGGACTGAAAACACTGAGGGAACTGATCCCAGACGGCACCATCTCCCTAATGACCAGGTTCCGCCATCATCAGATTCAGCATTTCTACCGAACCACGGTAGGCAAACATTTATTTCATAGAGACCTAACCACTTTTGAGCACATGTGTGCGGCCAGGGATCGACCACTGAAAGGAATCACACGACTCTACACCCTATTGCTTACCGCCACACCACGCGCACCACCACGATATATGTCCCGCTGGGAACAAGCGACAGACCAAACACTGACGGACCAACAATGGGAGAAGATCCACGTGCTAACACACCAAGGCACGCTCAGTTCAAAACTGCAGGAACTTAACTACAAGATTATGGTCAACTGGTATAGAACCCCAGCGAAACTACATTGCATGAACCGAGAAACCCCGGACGTTTGCTGGAGGTGCGGAGCCGAGGGTGGGTCAGACTACCATATATGGTGGTCGTGCCCTACAATTCAGCAGTACTGGAAGCAAATTCATTCTAAAATTCAAAGCATCGCGGACCCGGATCTACCGTTCCAGCCCTTGCCGATGCTACTCCACCACACCACACGCCCTATAGCTACATACAAACGCTCCCTGACCAAACACCTACTAAATGCGGCAAAATCCCTCATCCCCACCAAATGGCGCACGACGGAGTCACCGTCGATGGAGCAATGGATGGAACGTGTGGAGGACATCTACAGTATGGAATCCCTCTCGGCATCGCTACACGGCACGGGAGACAAATGTGCTATCACCTGGCTCCCTTGGTGCACCTACATAGCCCAGAGAGGAACCGCAGGAACGGCTGCCACTGGGTAGCGGAGAACCAGGGAAGCTCTAGATCCGCCCCTCCAGTGATCATATGAGATACAGGAGTCCGCCTACCAGCCTACCCTCCCCCCCCCCCTCTTCCTCTCTTCTCTCTTCCTTTCCCACTGCACACCTTTCTCTTTCCCCCCAGTCAGGAGGTCATTGGCAGGACTGTGATGGTCAGGGGATAGGGGGAACCCATGGCCCGGACAGGTGGTCGGGGGTGGGGCCTGGGAGGGGGGGGACACTTTGGAGGTGGACAGCTCCTGGAGCCAAACCCTGGGTGGGGAATACAGTCAGGTCCAACGGGGGGGACAGGCGGACATCCCACACTGAGTACCCTGACCAACTCGACGAGCATGCAACCATAGCAAACTGGACGCGACGGACAGGGAGTTGACACGCCCCACCCAGCACCAGTACACCAGCGGCTTCCCACGACTGTCCACCAGCTCGGCCCCTTAACTAGAGGTCACCCCCCTAACCGGACGAACCAGAGAGAATCCCCACCAAGACACCGAACTGAACCCGGACTTGCGCTGATCAACACACTCCAACTATGTACATAGCATACACTCTTGCACACACATGAGAAAACAAGAGACAAGAAGAGCGTTCTACCAGGTTGACAGCCCAAAACTAAATGCCTCATCTCACGAAGGCGCTCATGGAGGGCTTGACACAGTTCACTAAAAGTTGCTTGTTACTATTGTTTTCTACCCAAGGTAATTGACGAGAGCATTGAGATGGGAGGTTGGATATATGGCTATATCTGAAATGTAAAACCTTGATTGTTATCCTTCTTTCCCTCTGTTTCCCACGTACTTTATTATCTCAATAAAAATTGATTGGATAAAAAAAAAAAAAAACAGAACTTAAAATACATTTCAAAATAACATTAAAACCATATAGGTGCATTGGTATGAGCCTAATTAGGCTTGGGGAACTTAAATTTTATTAAAATGAAGCTTTAAAGAGGATTTAGTTGCAGTTTGTCCCGATCACGTGATCGGGACGCGGCGCGCCTGTGCGGGTCGTCTAATGGCCGGATCACTTTCTAGCATAGACGGAGGGCATGGAGACACAATGCTCTATGGGAAATGAAGTCCTGCCGGTCACTGAGCACTCCTATTGTGAAATATATGCCGAAAATCAAAGTTACAGTGTTAAAAGAGACATGACAAGAATATAAAAACATATTATAAGGTATAAACAGCCACACAAATTTATACATAAGGATTTTTAACCAAAGAGATGCCATGAAATAATAATAAAAGTATTAAAAAGCACATAGCAATGAGAATAAAAATTAACAGGTGGTGTATGAATTATAAATAGTGGTACTATGATTGCACAAAATTAGATAAAATAAAAAATTTATTATAAAAAGGGGATATTATTAGAAAATAGACTTTTCATAAAAAATTGTGCAGGTCAAAATCTGCATTAAGTCCATTTGGTGTTAGGGTCTGTTACTTATAGACCCATTCCATCTCAGTTTTGCCTAAGATGTTTTTTATATCTCCTCCTCTCCAGGGTAAGGAACATTTTTTTATTCCCATATATTTTAGCATTTTGGGATCTTTATTGTGAATTAAAAATGTTTTGATAAAGAGTGATTTAAATAACCATTTTTTATGTTCCTACAATGCTCACCTAATCTAATTTTTAAGCATCTAGTGGTCATCCCAACATATTGGAAGCCACACGGGCATTCCAATAAGTAGATGACATTTTTGGTATTACATGTAATAAATTCTATTATTTTTGGTGGCATTGTAGGATCAGCTGTTTTACACACAATACAGTTCTTGCATTTATGAAAGCCTAAAGATTGGGGGAAAAAAGATACAAGATTTGGTTTATTTGGTGAAATTGGTGGTTAGAATAGATTTAACGTTAGGAGCCCCTCTGAAAATTATACTCGGCTTTTCTGGAATAATTTTAGAAAGTTTTTCATCATGTTCTAAAATATGCCAGTGTTTTTGGATAATCTTTTTTATTTCTTTACTTTTGTTAGTATAGTTAAAGGTGATAGGAAGAGATATAGAATCATTTTTGCTTTTGGGTTTATACTTTAAAAGCTCATCTCTGTTTTTATTTTTTATCTCATTGATATTTTCAAGTAGGTCTTTTTCTGGGTAATTTTTCACCATGAAATGTATTTTAAGTTCTGTTTTAATACTTGTTTGTAATTGGTGCATTAAAATTTTGGCGCCATATTCAACCTCTGTATACTTATAAATTCAGTTCCTTGCCAGGTGTACTGTTCTTTTACCATTTTGAGAAAACCCCAAAGGTGAAACGCGTAAATGGTTTTAATAAGTGTATTTTAATCAATAAAAGTAATTTTTGGTTACCTTTTATACTAAGACCAATCTTATACTTATTTTTTATTTTATACACTTTTTCTACTCCTGGCATTTTTACATTATTTCCACATTATTTTTATATTATTTTATAGTTTTACTTTTTTATCCTTCCACTTTTTATTTTTAACTTAAAAGTGTATCCCGTCCAAAGAAATCCTTAGGTGGGGATAATTCCACCAGCGCTGTGGCAATAGAGCAGTATCCGTCTGCTCTATTCTTGTAAGTATAACTTATTTTAAGATATTACTTTGTTTGTCGTTCACACTATTTGCTGTTTTATATATATCCCGTGGATACCTACCATCCAAAACCGGAGAGGCGGACCTATCTCCCCAGCATCAAAGAACAACGCACATCTGAGTAGGTCCTAGCCTACACCAAAGGAATTCAAAGCCGGATAGACGGACCAACCATCCAAGTACATCCGATAGTGGGGATTAAACCACTAAGTGCCTCTTCTCCTAGAGCTGGTTAAAGCTCCAACAAATGTGAGTGAAATACCTTTCTTTTCAATATATACCACATCTGGACATACAATATTTCACCATTGGCAGCTTTTTCTTCTGTTTTTTATCTTCACATATATGGACTATCTACCATACGGACGGAGCAACACTTGAGGATTATTATCGTATTACCACATATCAGTGAGACTGTTTCAATTTATAATTTCAACTCTCATATATCTGGATGAACTTAATCTGATTTTATTATTATTGCTGATTTTATTTATATAAATTTTTTACATTTTTAAATCTTTTTTAATTGTCCAAGCGCAGCCATTAACTCCCTTTCTTGCATTTTCCTGTTTCTCAAAGGATTTCTTGAGGGATTCCCCTTTTAGGGTTGCTGCTTATTTGAGTTAGCGCAGACTCTTCCCTTTTTCTGTTTTACCAAAGGGATTTAGAGGTCTGGAGTGTCCCTTTAACAGCTCTTAAAATAATTTCCCAACCACAGATGTTAAACTCACAGGTCTGTAGTGTCCGGGTTGAGCTTTTGAACCCTTTTTAAATATAGGCACCACATCTGCTCTTCTCCAATCCTCTGGTGCAAGTCTTGAACGAAAATAATCCTGAAATATTAAACAGTGGTATGGATATTTCAACACTAAGCTCCCTAAGCATTCGTAGGTGAATACCATCTTGCCCTGGGGATTTGAATATTAGCTTTTCATTTTCAATTTTAGCCCAACTAAATGCCCTTTTGTAAGTCATATTGGCATGCCTATATTTGTCATAGGATACTATGGATCCCTCTGATTTAAATATTGATTGCCCTTTTCTTATCTTCTATTATTTTACTGACCCATTTACTAAGCCATATTAGTTTTAAATTGCTTCTTTTATATTTGTTTCCCAATGGTATATATTGAAAATTATGCAAGCAGCTTTCACAATATAATAGCAAATATTGTTGGATAAACTTTCCAAATAATTTAATATTGTTGGTTAAACTTTTAAAATGATTTAATGTTATGAAAGAGCTCCCTTAAAGAGCCCAGTTGTGGGGAAACACACGTCGGGACGTTTAGACTCTGTGTGTGTGATCATTGTATTTATAGGGCAGTACACCTACTGAGATCCTCTCCCGAGTTTTAGATCAATGCTACGAGATTGTTAATTAGATTTTTTTAGACACAGAGATTATTTCTTTTAATTTTACTATTTCTCACTTTATTGTCTTTATTATTTTGGCTTTTTTCAAATATTTCATTTCACTTTATTGTAACCTTAGAGTTCAGTAACGATAGGTAAAGAATTTATTTTTTTTAGATCAGGTGCCCTCGAAGTCATATTTAGAAACTAGACAGTTTGTCTCCTATATCTTTATTTCTATTGAGTTTTGTGATTATCAACCACCTCCTTTCCCTTTATATATATATTGTTCCTCTTACCAGCTAATCTGTATACTGACACCTCTATACGTGGAGGCTATTACTCCTTTGATATTTAACTGTGGATATAAGTATTTACTAGTTTGCATGGGTTGGTTTTTTTCTGACATCTCTACTCTAAGGTTACTTTTAGATTTCAATTTAAATGGTTTTTTTTGCCAGATGTGCTGAAAGGATATTTTTTAAGAGATTTTAGAATTTCTCATTTATTGGGCTGGATTTTCCCCTAATATATTGCTGATTCCATTTATGGGGGTTCATGCCATTCATTCCAGCCCCTATAGATATATTCTCTCACTCTAAATACCTTTTTACTAGTATTAGCAGCAGTACCAAAGAGATATTCTTCTAATATTGGGGTAGGCAACCTAAAAATTTAATATTTTAATTAGACTCAACCTCCTCTCAAACCCTTAAATACTTGAAATGAAGGGACACACCTCAGTATTAACAGGAAATAACTAGGGATGTGCATGGGGAAAATTTTTGGTTCAGTTCGGCATTCCGAAATTCAGGACTTTAGCGGTTCGGCACTTCTCTTGCAGCTGCTTAGTAGATAACTCCCTAATTCCCACAGTATTAGGGAGTTAGCTACCAAAATGCTGAAAGACCTAAATTGGTCTTTCAGCCACATTTACTAATACTAAGTAAAAATTACTTAGTATTAGTAAATTTTGCCCCTACTCGGCTCACTATACCGCGAGTAGGGGCATGTCTAGTAAACAGACCTGAGCGGTGGGTGGGGTCCTAAATTACTTTAAGGGGGGGGGACCTATTGTCCTCTCTCCTGGCCCCCACCCCCGAGCAGTGGGTTGGGGCCATAAATTAGAATAAGGGGGACACACACCTATTGTCCTCCCCCCCTGAGCGGCGGGTGGGGGCTCTAAAGTAAAATAATGGGGGGTACCGATTCTCCTCCCCCCGGCCCCCACCCCTGAGTGGTGGGTGGGGGCCCTAAATTAGAATAAGGGGGGACCTACTGTCCTCCCCTCTGAGCAGTGGGTGAGGGTAAATACCAATAAGGGGGGGGGAGACCTATTGTCCTCCCCCCTGGCCCCCACCCCTGAGTAAAGTAATCTTTACTTAGTATTAGTAAATTTGTCTGAAAGACCAATTTAGGTCTTTCAGCCTTTTAGTAGATAGCTCACTGATACCGTGGGAATTAGGGAGTTATCTACTTATTCATTCCTGTCATTCTGTTGACTGGCTAAGTAACTTACATTTTATGTGAATGTTTGTTACTTGATTGTTGTAAGTGTTGCAAATGCTTACAGCTGAATCCCGGCTATGTTTGTTTACTTTTTATTTAACCTCTTAAGGACCAAACTTCTGGAATAAAAGGGAATCGTGACATGTCACACATGTCATGTGTCCTTAAGGGGTTAAACTTGTATACAGTGTAACATTCTTCATTCTTCCACTGGGTATGCATATTAGTACTTCGGCAATTCAGCTATTCAGACATTCGGAACGAAACGAATTGCACATGTATAGAAATAACAAACAAACACAAAAGGAACGAGATATTCACATTTTCCATTATTAAATAAAGCATGGCTAGTATCCACCCAACAGCAAACAAAACAAAAAAGTGTGTTACTGAGCAGACAGTACAATAAAATGGATAGTGAGTCAGGTTTTTTATGTATGCACAAACTTTAAACTTATTTATAAAGTGTATGTAAACCAGTTTAATCGCTAGTGACTGTGGCTCCAATCCCCTTAATTATTTATGCTCCTGACTAGCAGCCAATACGTTTAGTTGGCTTTTCACTGGTTCAGTCACATTTAAAGCAGCCCTGTTACCACCTGAATAGGAGCATTTCATAAAGATAGAATCTTTTTAAAATACTCATTTTGACTGTGTTGGAATTTAACTGAAATTCCAACTCAGTCAAAATATACAGAGACAAAGTACTATGTTGTCCCTATGTATTTCCTATGCCTGAAACTTCTTGACACTTTTCAGAGCTACCGCCATCTTGAAGTGTCAATCCCCCCCCAGAGCTGTGCTTTGCACATGAGTGTATAGCAGATCTATATTCATTAAAACTAGAGCAATCAGCAAATAAATTAATGGAAGGTTTCACCCACAGTTCCCTCCAGTTCAAAGCTATGACTGCTTGAAATTTACAGCATATTGTGTAGAAATGTAACATCACTGATTGAAGTTAAACAGCACATGTAAGCTGCCCCTTCACCCAAAAGCAATGTTTTATTTTCCTCTTCCACGACAACTCACCGTGCCACTGAGCAGACATTGCAAGTGCTTTTTAGAAGAGGCTTGGAACCAGCTTTGATACAATTGTCTGCACCCTCAGGCTTGTTTGAAATAATATATATATTCAGATGGCTTTACTGAAGAATAAGAACGAACAATGCACATGTAACTAAACAGTTTCCATGGGAAACGTACCTATGGTAAATAGAAGAATATTTAAATGCATATTAACTTTGTCTTGATAATTTGTGTATTTTTCTAATGCTGACAGAGCTTGGATTCTCCCAATCTCTTTGCTGAAGTGATTGCAATTAAAAAGGTGATAAGAATTTTAGTGGTTCAAATACTTTCACATAAGGAATTTGGAACTAAAAATAGATCCCAAGAAGGAAAAATACATTTTTGTGGAGGGCACAACTACAACATGACAAGAAAATCGTGTAGTCGAAAATGACAGAGCTGATATCTGTACATTAATGGTGAATGCGTTTAAATGCCTATCCAAACAGTTCCTCTCAAACCTGTACAGATTACTCTCCTGGCCCATGGTTCTTGCTGCCAATCTAATCTTTCATCATTTCAGTTAAGAATTAATTTGCCAGTCTGATATTTTGCAAAAGACATACTGGATCATCCACAGATTCTCCTGCTAAGGAATCCTTTAGGGCTTAAAGCAATGCATTCATTGCCCACATTAACTGCTGCTACTATAAAGTAAAGCTTTGCTTTAAAAATTACTTTATGGTTATTTTCCTCATCAATTGTGTTATGGGTACATCAACCTTTGGACGATCTTACCATGAATCGGCATTCTGCAATTTAAAAAGTTTTAAATTGCATAAAAATAAATGCAGGTTTTTATGGGGGCTTCTATTCTCTTTTCGTCAGATCCACGAGAGTGCTATTGTATTGCACCTATACAGAGCTTCTTCATACAGATATTGTCAGAGCGTTGTGCCTGGGAGGTGAAACTATATGCTGCTCCAACCTACCTAACCTCACTTAAAGTATGTCCCATCTAGGCCCCTGCGCTTTTCCAAAGACCTACGTTTAGCCTCTCTCCGATGCTCGCCTTCAAGTCTTCTCCAGAGATGCACCTTTTTTGTGGAACTCCCTTCCCTTCTCTGTTTGACTCCTCTACTGCAGCTCTTAAAAATAACTTAAGTCCTCAGTGAATACTTTTCTAGCAACCTACTTTGCCCACTCCCTCTAGAATGTAAGCTCATTTAACAGGGCCCTCATCCCCTCTGCTCCTGTGCATCCAACTTGTCTGGTTATAATTACATGTGTTCGTCCATCCATTTTTCAGCGCTATGTAATTTGCTGGCGCTAAATAAAAAAATAACTTTTTGATAGTTCAGCTCTGATTGCCTCCCTCTTCAGCTACCTACGTTCCACCTGTTGTGAAGAAGGGAAAAAATAAACATCTGTTTGTCCTACTTGCATGATAACCAAGAATTGAGGTGTTTCCTTCCATTCAATGTATTTAAAGAAACACTAACATGTATTCTTAACCCAAATGTTAAAACCACAATTTAGGAAGAGTTAAATTATTTGAAGCTCTCCAGAGTTCATTGGGTGTACATTGATTAAATACAGATATGCATTTATTTTTAAGGGAATTTACTATGCATTTTTTCTGGCTTTGTATTGCTTAAACAAAAAAATTTTTTAGAACAGGTACCCTTTAAAATATCACAAATGTGATCAAAATCAAATGAACACCATGTCATTAGTCAAACGCATTAACAGTACTGGTAAGTCCTCCTTCCACCCTCAACGCATTTCATCTCTGCTAGACTTCTTATAGATTACATATATCGAATTTCAGGTGTGCTGAGGAAGCATATGTTGCAGGACAACTGCTCATGAAAGAAAGAAACTTGTTGCTACTTTTCAATTTAGTGTTTACATCTACTCCTAGATTATGGGAGGTCAATTTAGTCTATATTCTTGTTGGATCAAGCTGCTCCCCTCCCACAAAATCTGATAAACAAATCTAGTGATCTTCATAGTTACATGGAGTCTACATAACCAGGCAATGGACATATCAACCAAAGTGGCACCACTGATTGTAATGTGAAATCAGTACATTTTTGCTTGCTCCCCTTTATATATTTTGTAGGTACCCAGAACACTTCCTCTCATTCAAGTGCTCTAAGTGTGGCATCTCTGTCCCCTTAAAGGGACACTATAGTCACCTGAACAACTTTAGCTTAATGAAGCAGTTTTGGTGTATAGAACATGCCCCTGCAGCCTCACTGCTCAATCCTCTGCCATTAGGAGCTAAATCCCTTTGTTTATGAACCCTAGTCACACCTCCCTGCATGTGACTTGCACAGCCTTCCATAAACACTTCCTGTAAAGAGAGCCTTATTTAGGCTTTTTATTGCAAGTTGTTTCATTAAGATTTTCTTATCCCCTGCTATGTTAATAGCTTGCTAGACCCTGTATGTGATTAAAGTTCAATTTAGAGATTGAGATACAATTATTTAAGGTAAATTACATCTGTTTGAAAGTGAAACCCGTTTTTTTTTCATGCAGGCTCTGTCAATCATATTCAGGGGAGTTGTGGCTAGGGCTGCATAAACAGAAACAAAGTGATTTAACACCTAAATGACAGTGAATTGAGCAGTGAAATTATCTATACACTAAAACGACTATTTAGCTAAAGTAATTTAGGTGACTATAGTGTTCCTTTAACAGTTCAATCTAGTAAATTTTGAGAAACTGCAATGTTTATATTGCAGTATTTAGACTGCCTCTTGTGGCCGTCTACCAGACAAACACTAGAGGAGGGTCCTGTTTCACAGAGTTTCCCCCATCGGCGCTGAGAGCCACTACAGTGTAAGGATTACAGTGTTGTTCATTTAAATTTGTTTTTTCCCCCCCTCTTTCAGCTGCTAAACTTATGTTCCCATAAAATAAAGACAATTTTTTGTTTTGGTACAACCACATTTTATTTTACAAAGGGAGGGTATTATCATGCAATGCTTCCTGCATTTGAGGCAATCCTGGGCCACAGGTCTGCACATTCCTTTGCAACGGGGCCTGTAATAGCAGAACCTGGAAGAAAAGGGAATTTTTTTTTATTTATTTTTTTAAAAAGGAACGAGATATTCACATTTTCCATTATTAAAGAAAGCATGGCTAGTATCCACCCAACAGCAAACAAAACAAAAAAGTGTGTTACTGAGCAGACAGTACAATAAAATGGATAGTGAGTCAGGTTTTTTATGTATGCACAAACTTTAAACTTATTTATAAAGTGTATGTAAACCAGTTTAATCGCTAGTGACTGTGGCTCCAATCCCCTTAATTATTTATGCTCCTGACTAGCAGCCAATACGTTTAGTTGGCTTTTCACTGGTTCAGTCACATTTAAAGCAGCCCTGTTACCACCTGAATAGGAGCATTTCATAAAGATAGAATCTTTTTAAAATACTCAATTTAACTGAAATTCCAACTCAGTCAAAATATACAGAGACAAAGTACTATGTTGTCCCTATGTATTTCCTATGCCTGAAACTTCTTGACACTTTTCAGAGCTACCGCCATCTTATAGTGTCAATCCCCCCCCCAGAGCTGTGCTTTGCACATGAGTGTATAGCAGATCTATATTCATTAAAACTAGAGCAATCAAGAAATTAAATTAATGGAAGGTTTCATCCACAGTTCCCTCCTGTTCAAAGCTATGACTGCTTGAAATTTACAGCATATTGTGTAGAAATGTAACATCACTGATTGAAGTTAAACAGCACATGTAAGCTGCCCCTTCACCCAAAAGCAATGTTTTACTTTCCTCTTCCACGACAACTCACCGTGCCACTGAGCAGACATTGCAAGTGCTTTTTAGAAGAGGCTTGGAACCAGCTTTGATACAATTGTCTGCACCCTCAGGCTTGTTTGAAATAATATATATATTCAGATGGCTTTACTGAAGAATAAGAACGAACAATGCACATGTAACTAAACAGTTTCCATGGGAAACTTACCTATGGTAAAGCATTGGATTTGCTAAAATAACGTTTACAGGAACACCATAGTCACCAGAACTACAACAGCTTATTGTATTTGTTCTGGTGAGTATAAACATTCCCCTTCAGGCTTTTTGCAGTAAACACAGTTTTCAGAGAAAACATGCAGTGTTTACATTACAGCCTAGGGATACCTCCACTGGCCATTCCTCAGATGGCTGCCAGAGGTGTCTTCACCCTCTGCATGCAGACACTGAACTTTCCTAATCGAGCTGCATTGATTCGATGCATTTATTTGAGGAGATGCTGATAGGATATGGCAATGTTTGGCTTGTGCTGGCTCTGCCCCATTTCTTGACAGTTTCAGCCAACCCAATGCTTTCCTACGTGAAAGCATTGTGATGGGCTTTGAATAACACTTCTGATTATGTCAGCCAGGCAGGCAGATCAGGCAGTAGCAGCCTGGATCAAAAGTAAGATTTTACTATATTTAGTGGGTGCTCCTTTAATAATCTCAGCTAAGGAGGCAGGGCCAGTGTTGAGACTGGTGCAGCAGTAGAGAAAAGGCAAGTTTAAAAATACTGACTGAATGCTTTCCTATGGGGAATTTTAAACGAGCGTGTTGTATGCATGAGCATCAGGTCCACAAATCACCATTTTATCCGTTAGATTGTAAGCTCACAGGTTATCAAGCTAAGCACTTTGTATAAAAGAGCTTCATAGGTTAAATCTCAGCTTACAGGCAGTACTCTCTACCTTTTGTATTTGTCTGTGCATATTGTATGTTCTCCCCTTATTGTACAGCACTGCGGAATATAGTAGCTCTTTATAAATACCCGTAATAAATAAATAAATAATGCTCACGTCAGTGAGTGGTGCAATAGAAAGAGGTACTATAGCGTTTGTTTTTCCAATGCTATAGTGAACTTTAATGCTATTAAGGAACTTAATTAGGTAATTTTTGGGACATGAATACTGATTGGGTTGTTTGATTGTGGTAAATCCTGCAAAAGGTCTTGACTAAGATCCACTAGTCACCTCTAACACAGACCCAAGCCTGGGAGTGCAGAGCTTAGATAAGGGTAGCTAATATGAAAGATATATCGGTGTAATTTATTTATTTATTTATTTTAAATTCCTATCTGGCCCTTTTCTCATGTAAAGTAATTAAGTTTCTGTACATTGGTACATACCTTTCATTTCTCCTTTGTTGTTCACTATAACCCCCGCATTGTCCTCAAAATACAAAAACACCCCATCTTTTCTCCGATACGATTTCCGCTGCCGTATCACCACTGCAGGATGCACTACATAAATATAAATAAAAAGGTTATAGCATGAAGCCAAGTTTGAACAAGAGCACCATTGGTTTCTTATACATAACTTCCAAGACAGCATGCTTCAAACATGAGTGCATAGCAGACCAATATTCATGAATACTAGGGAAACCGCAAATAAATGAATGGAAGATTTCTATCCTCCACAGTTCCCTCCAGTTCAAAGCTATGGCTGCTAGAAATGTACAAAATAGTGTATAGAAATGTAACACCACCGATTGAAGTTAAACAGCACATGTAGCTGCCCCTTCACCCAAAAGCAATGTTTTACTTTCCTCTTCCACGACAACTCACCGTGCCACTGAGCAGACATTGCAAGTGCTTTTTAGAAGAGGCTTGGAACCCGCTTTGATACAATTGACTGCACCCAGGATATTATTTTAAAAACAAAACAATTTCCATGTGTGCGAATCTAAGAGTCAGAGGCCTGCAAATCCATGTACTTCTCTTCTGAACGCTAAACTGATATACAATGAAGCTTCCATTTGTGCAATTTTCCAGAATTACTGGTACCTACATTTCAGATGGCTTTACTGAAGAATCAGTGAGAATGAACAATGCACATGCTAATAAATATTTTATTTGAGAAGTTTTGTTGCTAAAGTTCACATACTCATCACTATGTTCAATTTAGCGTCAATTATTTGCAAAATGTTTACAGCTGTAAGCTGACCACCCCACTGACTGAACTATTGCTTTCTTGGTTGTTACAAATCCTAAGCAATTCCACACCATATCACAGCCTGTACAGCAGCACCTAACGGTTTCTACTGGCTAGCCAAATCTATTTACTACATTAAACTTCTTGCCACTGCTATACTACAGATCCTTTTAAACCCCATTGCACAATGCTTTACGATACATGTACAGCATTCCGAATGTAAAACGATGGGAGGACCAGCATTGACTGAGAAGGGACACCCACTTCTAGTCACCACAGAAGAAGCAGAAGTGCTCTAAATAAATTTAAAAGTAAGGAAAAAATGTAGGATAGGAACTATGTTTTCATCTATATCCCACATTTATTACTTCTCCAACTGCACCATGTTTTGGGCAACTTTGCCATCCCACAATACCTCAAACGGGCTCATGGGCATTGCCAGAGAAACTACATACAAGAGAATTTAAACCCTTGTTGTTTCCTCCAAAAATATCATATGCACGCAAATTAAGAGAAACTATAAAAATAGAAGATCACAACCAGCAGATGTTAATCTATATGGTTATACTAACAAGAAAACAGCAGTTAAGATGACAAATAAGTACTTCAGTCACATACCCTTTTTTCTGAGTTCAGGCTTTCCTTTCTTTACTGTTGCCATCACCATGTCTCCCACACCAGCAGCAGGCAGCCTGTTCAGTCTACCTTTGATGCCTTTTACAGAGATGATGTACAAGTTCTTGGCACCTGGTATGAGAGATTGCAGAGACATTTAACAATGGAACATACTTAGTTTGTAGTTACAAATGATGAACAACTACACTATGAGTTGGAATAACCATTTGGGGTACCATGCAGTCATGTCACACCACTGATTGAAGCTGAATAGCACATGTAGCTGCCGCTTCACCCAAAAGCAATGTTTTCCTTTCCTCTTCCACGACAACTCACAGTGCCACTGAGCAGACATTGCAAGTGCTTTTTAGAAGAGGGGATATACAATAAATTAAAGAGAAAAAATTCCTCAGAGGACTAAAAGAGTAAAGGGCCCTTTACGCTTTTATTCCTCTGAGGAATTTTTTTTTCTTATTTAATTCCGGGTTTATGACAGTCACTACCCACTTAGTCCTTTTATATGTTGACTCTAGTGTCAAGCTTTGACTGACCCCTAAGCCTTCATTTTCATTTGTATACAACAAATCAGTATAGATTTCAGGTAAAACAAATCAAAATACTATTTTTTTTATTTTGTTCAGCAGGGCACACAATTATGCAGAAGCAGCATAATTGCAGATGTCCTTTTACTCAGGGAACAGTTTCTAGGACATTTTCAGTTAAAGAATCACTATAGTGTCAGGAAAACAAGGCGGTTTTCCTGACACTATAGTGTCCTAAGGGTGCGCCCACTCTCTGGGTCCCCGTCCCTTGGCGCTGAAAGGGTTAAAACCCCTTCAGCTACTTACCTTAATCCAGTGCCGAGCTCCATCGGCGCTGGTGATTTCTCCTCCCCCGCCGACGTCAGCTCCCAAGTGGAGCGGGAAGTGCCGGGCGCGCATTCAAACAGTCCTTAGGAAAGCATTTACTCAATGCACGCTGGATGTGAATTTCGCATCCAGCGTCGCAGATGCACCTCTTGCGGCTGTCAAGAAGACAGCAACTAGAGGTTGGATTAACCCTGCTATGTAAACATAGTAGTTTCTCTGAAACTGCTATGTTTACATCTGAAGGGTTAAAACCTGAGACCTGGCACTCAGACCACTTCATTGAGCTGAAGTAGTCTGGGTGACTATAGTGTCCCTTTAACTTGGAAGTAGAGGGACAAAGGCATTAAAGTAAATGGCAATAGGATTAGTTTTGGAATATTCTTACCTGTATTATCAGCACAGTTAATAACAGCCCCCACGGGGAGACCGAGTGAGATGCGAAATTTCGCACCAGAGGAACCTCCACGTCCTAAAATGAAGAAAAAGAAAAACAGATACATGAGGATTTTCAATAGTCACATTTGCATAAGTAGACAAATACTAATCTGTAACCCCACAGAAGACTTTCTACTACAATAACCCATTACATACAGAAAGCATGGCAGACGCATACATACTAACACTACCATGCTATCCAAAGACAGAAGGACATGACAAATTAAAGGACAACTGCTACCCAAATGCTTTAAAATGGCAAAGAGACTCATACCAAAACAAAGTAATTCATTATGTTCTATATAGCAATGTTCACCATTTAGAAGGAAATGGCGTACAACAGGAAGACAGACCGGGTTGGACACCCTTTATATACAGCTTATCACAGCACAGAAGTTATTATAATACATATAGAGCAATTCAGCCATTCTACACTCCCTATACTACATAACCTGAGCCTCAAACACTTGGGTGTCTTCCCCTAAATATGAACAATCCTACCATACTACACATTTTCATGCACTACTAAAAACATAACAAAACATATCCATCCAGCCTACTAAAGAAAACCCCACTTACACACATGCTGTAGTCTATCCCTCCCAGAGCTATCACAAACATGGCTCTGCGGGCCATCCGATACCCCTTATCTCCCCGGGTCTTCTTCACCCATCACCCCGACTTCCATGCCTGACCATATGCTCAGTATTGGAGCGGGGCAGTGTGGTGATGAATCCAGACGTAAGGGCTGGACACCAGATCGACTAATAACGACAGATGGCAGCGGATTGCGCTCTGCAGCTCAAGGCCCTCACCTCTCTTAGACATCTTGGTTACCGGAAAGAGAGAGCGGGCCGCAAAGGATGCTGGGATATAGCTTCAGTGTTGCAAATGGTGGGCGGTGTCGTCACATGACCGTGGTTGGCAAAAGCACTTGCCATTCTTCCTGTGTGACTTCCTGTGTGTGTAAAGAGAGCCCTCTGTAGGTCTGGAGGGGCGTTGTCTTCTTAGCAAATTCAGAAAGGAAAATAAGTCAATAAACATGATTATTCCATTGGAATGTTAATGTTTTGTGTACTTTTTAAACAATATCCTTTCCACTGATATAGTGGAAGATTATATAGTCCAGATTCGACTGGAATGTGAGTGGTGTGTAAGATGCATTATGTATGATTCTGAAACTGAATGCCTATAGCTTAGCTCCATGTCAATCACTGCTATCATATACCATCATCCCTGCAAATGTTTTAAGGGTGCAATGCATAAAGGATAGGGGAATATTATCTAGGTGGCATTGTTCAACCATATATACTAACAGGAGTACTACAGTGATCTGTTTTCAGGAAATCCCCTTACTCCCTGAGCCTGGATATGCTCAGTCCTGCTGACTCCATCTCCTATGACAATTCTCCATTCCTGCTCCTTATTATTTCAAAAAAGAGAACAGCCAAGCAGCTTTATCCTGTAGAACCATGTACTGTATATAGAGTGGAACCTCAGGAACTCGAACTTAATCGATTCCAGAAGGCTGCTCGAGTTCCAATTTGTTTGACAGCCGAATCAACATTTCCCATAAGAATTAATGTAAATTTGATTAATCCGTTCCACACCCCCAAAATTAAAGCATTTTAACACAAGTTTTACAGTTTAACAATGCCTTACATGCATGAAATCATATAGGAAAAAATAATGAACACAATGTACATTAAATTAAATGAAAATGTAACTTCACTTTACCTGTAATGATGAGAGTTGATGGTGTAAGTCAAGCATGTCAAACTAAAAGTCTGGCACGGGCCACATAAACAAGGTTTAAGTTTATGTGGGCCGCAAAAAAAAATACCTTACATTTTCATAGAAACGTAGGTTTATTTTTAAAAGTACAGTACTGTATAAGAAAAAAACAGCATCCCCTCTACTAAATCCCAGTACCCCCACTACTAAACCACAGCACCCACTCTACCACCCTGTGCCAAATCTGATCTGACACAGACACACACACATACTCACTGACAGACAGACAGACAGACACACATACTAACTGACAGACACACACACATACTCACTGACAGACACGCACACACACATACACACACATACTCACTGACAGACAGACACATACTCACATACTCACTGACAGACATACACACACACATACTCACTGACAGACAGACACACACACTCACTGACAGACAGACAGACAAACACATACTAACTGACAGACACACACACACTCATACACACACACACACATACTCACTGACAGACACACACACTCACTGACAGACAGACACACGCATACTCACTGACAGACACACACACAGACACACACATACTGACACACACACACACACACAGATACATACTCACTGACAGACACACACATACTAACACAGACACATACTCACTGACAGACACACACTCACTGACAGAAACACACACACACATTTACACATTCTTGCACTCACATCATTTAATTTATTGTTCCTTACCTTTGGGAGCTGGTGTGGGGATCTTCTGTCTGGAGATCTCCTTCCTGCGCCTCATTGCTCCCTTGCGTGGTTTAGTGATGCCGGGTGCCAGAATATGACGTCATATTCTGGCGCCCGGCTTCACTACAGACGGCGCGTGAAGGAGCAGGAACATTGAGCTCCCTCGCTGGCCCTCATCCCCGGCCGAGTAAGTTTTAGCAGAGTAGGCACCAGCAATGTGGGGAAAGCAGGTGCCTACTCTGCTATAACACCAGCATGTACTTGCGGTTCGCCGGGCCGCAAAGATGGTCCTTGTGGGCCGCATGCGGCCAGTGGGCCGCGAGTTTGACATGCTTGGCGTAAGTGGAAAGGTGAAGAGATATTATTGTTTGAATGGGGATAGGTAACTGTTCTTCTGGCATTTAAAATGTGTCTAAAGTGTGTCTAATTGAACATGTTTGTGGCATGATTTGTTTGGGTACCGAGGATCGTTCATGTTAAAATAATTTGTTTGCGTTCAAAATTTATGTTCGACTTCCAAATAGTTTGAGAAAGGGACCGTTTGAGTTCTGAAGTTCCACAGTATGTGAAATTAAATGCCAGGAAAAATGAAATATGTCACCAGTCTGACAGCTAAATTTCTAAGATGCTTTTAATCATGTTCATGTCTATGCAGGGCCGGTGCTACCATTAGGCCACCTAGACAGTGGCCTAGGGCGCCGGCTCATGGGGGGCGGAGGCACAGCAGGAGAGGTATGTGCACAGGTGGTGCTGCCGGGGTGCTGGCTGCTGAATGAGCTGCCCGGCAAAAGTCTCCCCTCCCTCAGAAGGCGCTGTTCGCGGCCACCTAACCTGCCCCTGCTGCCAAAGGAGAACTTGGTCTGTACTTCCAGGCCAAGTTCTTGCTCCTCCTACTGTATTAGAGCGTTGCCGTTGGTTACCACAGCTACACTCTGATACACTTCCTAAGGCGGCTGGAAAGAGCTGTCTGCACCCAGTGAGGGTGCAGACATGCTGAATTTCCCACCGAACCACCAGGGAACCCTCCCTGGATGAAAGTAATCCTCGGGGGGGGAGAGGGGATTTGGAACCTTCCCCTCATTATCCCTTAACCCCCACTACTGCCCCTATCTCCCCACCATATCCTTTAACCCCCACTACTGCCCCTAACTCCCCACCATATCCCTTAACCCCCCACTACTGCCCCTAATTCCCCACTATATTCCTTAACCCCCCACTACTGCCCCTATCTACCCCACTACTGCCTCTATCTACCCCACTACTGCCTCTTAATCCCCACCCTTTTATTTAA